GGTTTGTCTGTGTTTAAATGTATAGCTGATAATACTTGGTATCATAAATAACTTTCTTAAATGTGTGTCAAGAGGAAAATTCAGTTTCAAATGGGGAATGGTTACCTATCTACATTTGTCTAATTACAGGAATCTTGATTTAACACATAAGTACCCTGTTATCCCTTGTATTAGATTTCAGTACAGTCTCAGAAAATGTTATTTTCACCAATATTTGCAAAATATCTTAATTGGTTATGCAAAAAAAAAAAATAATAATAATTTGTAAAATACAAGCTTTTGAAAACTAGCTTTTCAAATGCAACATGAAAATCCTTTTTAAGATCATACCAAATAACCGAACCTTAAATTTCTTCTTTTAATAAATTAAATTCTTTTCTAGAAACTAAAGTGTTGAGAATAAGGAGGTTCAAACATTATAAGTATGATATTCTTATTAAAAAGTTATGCATATATCACACCATGAAATATAATTTCATTGAAATATAGCTGCAAACAAAATAGCTTTATCTCGTTATAAAATAAAGACTATATGAACCAGTAATATATCCTCAGAGCTTTATCTCGTTATAAGATAAAGACTATATGTACCAGTAATATATCCTCAGAGCTTTATCTCGTTATAAAAGACTATACATGTATGTACCAGTAATATATCCTCAGAGCTTTATCTCGTTATAAGATAAAGACTATACATGTATGTACCAGTAAATATATCCTCAGAGCTTTATCTCGTTATTAGATAAAGACTATACATGTATGTACCAGTAATATATCCTCAGAGCTTTATCTCGTTATGAGATAAAGACTATATGTATGAGTAACATATCCTCAGAGCTTTATCTCGTTATAAGATAAAGACTGTATGTACCAGTAAGATATCCTCAGAGCTTTATCTCATTATAAGATAAAGACTATATATACCAGTAATATATCCTCAGAGCTTTATCTCGTTATAAGATAAAGACTTTATGTACCAGTAATATATCCTCAGAGCTTTATCTCATTATTCGATAAAGACTATATGTACCAGTAATATATCCTCAGAGCTTTATCTCGTTAAAAGATAAAGACTTTATGTACCAGTAATATATCCTCAGAGCTTCATCTCATTATAAGATAAAGACTGCATGTACCAGTAATAAATATACTCAGAGCTTTATCTCATTCTAAGATAAAGACTGTATAAGTACCAGTAATATATCCTCGGAGCTTTATCTCATTATAAAATAAAGACTGTATATGTACCAGTAATATATCCTAAGAGCTTTATCTCATTATTCAATAAAGACTATATGTACCAGTAATATATCCTAAGAGCTTTATCTCATTATAAGATAAAGACTGTATGTACCAGTAATATATATCCTCAGAGCTTTATCTCATTATAAGATAAAGACTGTATATGTACCAGTAATATATCCTCAGATCTTTATCTCATTATAAGATAAAGACTGTATGTACCAGTAATATATATCCTCAGAGCTTTATCTCATTATAAGATAAAGACTGTATATGTACCAGTAATATATCCTCAGATCTTTATCTCATTATAAGATAAAGACTGTATGTACCAGTAATATATATCCTCAGAGCTTTATCTCATTATAAGATAAAGACTGTATATGTACCAGTAATATATCCTCAGATCTTTATCTCATTATAAGATAAAGACTGTATGTACCAGTAATATATATCCTCAGAGCTTTATCTCATTATAAGATAAAGACTGTATATGTACCAGTAATATATCCTCAGATCTTTATCTCATTATAAGANCAACTGTTCATTTGTCTATAGGTACTGCACTCTCTTTTCCATAGGTAAATTGGTAGCACAACTTTATAAGGTCCACATTTGCAAAATTGAAATTGTTTTTAAGGAGTCTACTTTCAGCAGTACATGAGTACACAGTGATTTCTACGGGTTTACTCTAGTGATGAGGTGTGCCGCACTAGGAACCTCATCCCATCAACTGACCTTCCACGGCACAGGTGGCAGTCAGGGTTTTTTTGACTGCCACTAGTAGCAACTAAATTGTGAATTGAGAGCTCGAGGGGTAGCGATGACCATCACTGGACCAGGAATATCGTTCCTACTCCAGAAAACACTGGACAGAGAAACAAGGAATAATGGTCAACAATCACGACTCCTCTGTCACCATAGCAACACTTACATCTCCTACACATTTCTTAAGACAATTTCTCCTAAGTATGTCATTACAGCATGTTTACATTATTTGTAAAGTTACACATGAATGATCAATTCTTCATTAAATCTATCACACTCTATACTATACACAAAGAATCAACTACAGTCAATCCTGTGTTTGAAATGATACAACTGCTAACCAAAAGTGGCCGTTTATAACAGGTGGCCCGTACACAGGTTTGACTTTATATGTAAATTTTAACAATCTGAAATGTTGATCAAAACTCTATTATATTTTCGACTTACTGAGACTCATGAAACATTGTAAATCATAATTAATGGGATGTCTTCACTAGGTGAACATTGTACATGGGATGTTTTCACTAGGTGTACATTCTACATGGGTTGTCTTCACTAGGTTTACATTGTACATGGGATGTTTTCACTAGGTGTACATTCTACATGGGTTGTCTTCACTAGGTTTACATTGTAGGGCTTGTTCGTTTATGCTTGAACAACCACACTACTCATAGGGCTTGTTCGGTTATGCTAAACAACCACGCTACCCATAGGGCTTGTTCGTTTATGCTTGAACAACCATCCTACTCATAGGGCTTGTTCGTTTATGCTAAACAACCACACTACTCATAGGGCTTCTTTGTTAATGCTAAACAACCACACTACTCATAGGGCTTCTTTGTTAATGCTAAACAACCACACTACTCATAGGGCTTGTTTGTTTTTTTTTTAAAAAAAAAACAAACAAGCCCTATGAGTAGGATGGTTGTTCAAGCATAAACAAACAAGCCCTATGAGTAGTGTGGTTGTTTAGCATTAACAAAGAAGCCCTATGAGTAGTGTGGTTGTCCCATGTACAATGTACATGGGATGTCTTCACTGGGTGTACATTGTACATGGGCTGTCTGCACTAGGTGTACATTATACATGGGATGTCTTCAGTAGGTGTACATTGTACATCGGATGTCTTGGCGAGGTGTACATTGTACATGCGATGTCTGCACTAGGTGCACATTGCACATGGGATGTCTTCACTGGGTGTACATTGTACATGTGATGTCTTCACTAGGTGCACATTGTACATGGGATGTTTTCACTAGGTGTACATTCTACATGGGTTGTCTTCACTAGGTTTACATTGTAGGGCTTGTTCGTTTATGCTTGAACAACCATCCTACTCATAGGGCTTGTTTGTTTATGCTTGAACAACCACACTACTCATAGGGCTTCTTTGTTAATGCTAAACAACCACACTACTCATAGGGCTTGTTCGTTTATGCTTGAACAACCATCCTACTCATAGGGCTTGTTCGGTTATGCTAAACAACCACGCTACCCATAGGGCTTGTTCGTTTATGCTTGAACAACCACACTACTCATAGGGCTTCTTTGTTAATGCTAAACAACCACACTACTCATAGGGCTTGTTTGTTTTATGCTAAACAACCACACTACTCATAGGGCTTCTTTGTTAATGCTAAACAACCACACTACTCATAGGGCTTGTTTGTTTTATGCTAAACAACCACCCTACCCATAGGGCTTGTTCGTTTATGCTTGAACAACCATCCTACTCATAGGGCTTGTTTGTTTTTTTTTTAAAAAAAAAACAAACAAGCCCTATGAGTAGTGTGGTTGTTTAGCATAACCGAACAAGCCCTATGAGTAGGATGGTTGTTCAAGCATAAACAAACAAGCCCTATGAGTAGTGTGGTTGTTCAAGCATAAACAAACAAGCCCTATGAGTAGGATGGTTGTTCAAGCATAAACGAACAAGCCCTACAATGTAAACCTAGTGAAGACAACCCATGTAGAATGTACACCTAGTGAAAACATCCCATGTACAATGAACACCTAGTGAAGACATCCCATGTACATTGTACATGGGATGTCTTCACTAGGTGTACATTGTACATTTGGTAATATTAACAATAATATAACACAACTATAAAGCAAAAATGAACACATTTTTTTTCCTGCTTGAAAAGATGATTATCAAAATAATGATTGAAATTGTCAAATTGATTTATGTCATTTCAACTGTCCCCCTTTTTCTCTGTTGTATTACCATTTAGCTGTATACCAGTATCACAGTCACTGTACGATGACCATGCACATACCCTCATTAATGTTTGCACATGTAAACATGTTTCAAAATCTAAAATAAATTCCACTACAATACACGCACCGATTGATTATTCTTAACTAGAGAAACTGTGAGCGTACTCACAGACAGTCCCCCATCCCCCCCATCTCACTTACAATGTTTCTGGAGCAGATTATTTAAGTTTTAAGGGCCATACTATTACTCCTGAAAAAATAGCCACATTGCAACTTCCTTTCCTCATGTGCATCTACATAAGATGTACTTAAACTTTGTCAAGTTACCAAAAATCCAGTATACTGTTAAGAAGGAGTTATATATGCTTACAAGACTTCTGGAGAAGCCAGTTTAAAGGGCCATAACTCCAGGAAAAATATTTGAATCGCGAATTCCTTTCTTCATTCACATCTACCTTAGATGTACTTTCGATTTGTATAGTTACAAAAAATCCAACTCATGGTTTAGGAGAAGTTGCGCCTACAAAGATCATGGACAGATGGATGGACAGAGAGGTTGTGTCCTTTATACCCCCCTCAAATTTCAAACTTGTTTGCAGGGGGTAGAATTACTACCTAATGCTGATCTTCCGAAGTGAAGTCTTTTAAAAGTAAATGTCCTGGTCATAAATAATGGGAACAAGAGATATGACCAGAGTATAGAGTGAAAATGATCTACCCATTCTCAAACCAGGGTGAGATTAGGTGGGACAGCAGCACTAAATACTTACTATTGGTCATAAGGCTGCATGGGTTCCACATCCACGTATGGGCGCTGCATCATCCACGGCATGTCTGCATTGTTCTGTCAAGCAATCAAATACTGTACATTAAGAGTAATTGTCAAAATCAAGTTACTATTGAGCAATATAAGGTTTTGAGCATGACATAAACAGTATGTTCATTTTCACTTTAGACAAGTTGCTTTTGAGCATTATATAATTCATTTCTAATTTAGTTGAACAATTATCAAATGGTGTTACCTAGGTACATCAAACAATTTTCTGTTGAAACTTGAAACAAGAGGCCCAATGCTCACCTGGTATCAATTTCACACCAGAAGCCTTCAATGTGGATCAATTTTGGTTTTCAGAAGAAGTTGTTTAAAATTTTAAACATTGCACCCCAGTAACCTTGAAAGTGGGTCAAGGTCAATCATTTGAACAAAGTTGGTAGCCTTTCATCCAAGCATACAACTGGCCAGATATAATCACCCTGGGCCATTTGGTTATTCAAAAGAACTTGTTTGAAGGTTTTCTAATTATTTGACCGCAGTGACCTTCAGCGTGGGTTATGGTCATTCATCTGAACAAGCTTGGTAGACCTGAATTAATTTGTTGTTGAGATTATTTTTAAGTTATGAATTGATGAAAAAAGGTGTCACATTAAATATGAAAATACAAGTAAACATTTATAGCAGAAATATACAACCATACATATATCTTTAGTATTTTCATGCAAAATATTAAAGGATTGAAATGTTTTCATGTATTTCTAACACTTCTGGTGAAGTTAATCCTAGAGTTGCTTACAAACCATGTTCAATGATGTTCAGTAAAAAGGTATTTGAGAATTATAAAAACTAAACAAATTTGTTGATGGAGTATAATTGAAATTATTATATCGAACCAAGATCACTGATGAAGATGGCCGACAGAAATTTTAATTTAGTAATGCAGACAGAATCCTTGCTTCAAAACTTTAGAAAACAAATGGACAACATTAAATTCTATATCATTCTGACAGAGAGGTGAGATCTAGATTTCCATTGTCTGGGATTACAACAGCATCCACCCTGATATTACCTACCCAGTTTTATATAGTTTCCATTTTGTGTTTTCATAGCCTGATGATTTGACATGTAAGACATGCTTTCAATGTTTAATGAAAGCTTATATATCCTGAACAGAACATAGGAATGAAGAGGACACCAACACAACGCCAGTGTAAAAGGTTAACACTGTTCTCATTACTGGCACATAGTATTAGCCACATCAAGCACTTATAGGAGGCTTAAATTACACAGAAACTCTACTGTACACAAATTCAAAGCATAAGGTTTAGAATGCAATAAACAGTTTATAACCATATTTTATACTTTTATTACAAAAACCAAAACTTGTATAAGGCTTTCCAGAAGAAATCATCACATCAAATATCACACATTCTCAACCATTACCCAGTTACATGATCACAACACAACATATAATTAATGGTTAATTAATGAGTCTGTTAACAAGCCAATTAACATAAGAGTAGCTGTCCCTTCGTCAGGGTGTATACCTCAGGTTCTAACAGACTGTACCGTACTCCGTCCCCTACAAACACTCCTGGTACCTCCCTCCTGGTGACAGGAGACTGGGGGGCCACACCTGGCTCATGCCAGCCCCCCTGAGGAATAGCATCAAATCAGTTTAAATCAAGCAACCAAGATGGAATCAAATATTCATATGACATAAGATTGACATAGTAATTCTTGTAAAAAATACAACTTTTGTGGCAGATGGTGTACGTCATCCCTCTAACATAGCTTATATGGATTACAATTTTGTTATCAACAGTATCGTATTGTAACTTATCCATAATAAGTGTTGTACTGAATCAAGCAAAGACGGTGTTGATCGATAGTTATTCACTGTTTTGCTTTTCAAAACCTATATGCATAATCAAATTGAAAAGGAGTGGCCCATTGGGCTTGTATCAGCTTGCTTTAGCTGTTTTTGAGAGAGGCCTTAACAGTCTCAGTCAATCAGTTGCAGCTAGGCCATTTTGGAATTGTTTGAACAGCATTTTGTATGACCATGGAATTAACTAAACTAGCTTTGAATACTTAAATCTTCCAATTTCAGAAATGTGTCCAGACCCTAGTTTAAGAAGCATTCTTTAACTTAAAATAGAGTTTTTCAAAAATCTCAAATAAAAGGAACTTTCTTTAGACGACGACTACGGAATTAGGGACAAAATTAAGGATGTTTTTATATTATTGGTTGAAAAAAGTCTGTTTTGGTTACCAGTATATCCTTGACACAATTGACAATAAAAACTGCCTGATTGATCTCATTTAACTGTGTTATTGAGCAGCTTTCTCGTTCCTTTTTATACCTTTAATTCTGTGACGGGAAGGAGTCCGACTATATGTTTGAGTAGTGTATTTTATGTTTCTGAATACATCTCACTTGAAGCAAAGGAGCTTATTTGTTGATCAAGCAAGTTCTCTACGATATATACTGTATACCAGACACTTTTGTCCAGTCAAATATTCTATAATTACCAAGAGTAAATTTCGCTCTTCACATGAAGTTGTTATATATCGAAGGTTGTGTACTACTTCATATAGTTCTATGCATAATCAATATCATTATTCAGTGTCAAGATAAATTCACACTTATTGCGGTGGGCAAACAAGGTGAAAAGTTAAACAAGGGTGAAAATGTCCTGGTATGCATACAGTACATACCAGAGTGAGAGGGGTGAGGAGGGGGGGGGGCCTCAGCTGTCATTAAATTACATTCTGTAGTACCGGTGCGAGGCGGGGCAGCCCTGCTGTTGTTTGGGAAGGTTCTGTTGTTTATATCTATATATACATACCGGTGCGGGAGGAGGGAGTCTGGCTGTCTGTTTGAGTAAGTTTTGCTGTTTCAGCAACTCAATCTCATTTTGAAGCTGTAACATCTTCCTCAGCTGTTCCTCCTGGAGCCGACGTAGCTGGGCCTCAAGTTCATCTGTCAGGATAGAAGGTCACATTCAAGGTCAAACCATATAAGTAAAAGGTCAAGCAGACAAATTATGTCAACATTAAAGTCATAAAAAGCAAACTCAATAATGGACAAGCTGAATGTGTAACAAGAATAAATAAGAGATCCCAGAGGGATCTTGGCACCCACCATTGTGCCATCTTCATTAGTTCTATGTCAGTTCGATCCTTTCTATTCTTTTCTCTTATTTGTGTGATTGACTCATGTAAACAGTAAATGGAACTTCAGGTTACCATTTTGTTTTTCCATCAAATCTCAAAAGTAAACAAACACATGTACAATTAAGGACCAAGGAAATTCTACAGAACTAATTTGAGAGTATTTCCTAAGAAATAGCGAAAAACAAACATTCACACAACTTGAGAGCCAGGGAAACCTGCATATGAAATTTGAGAAAGATACCCTTAGCACTTTCACTGTCATAATCCAAGATGGCCTCCTGTTGGCCATTTTGTTCATCCGAGCTGTCTCAAAATTAAACATGCTCAATAGGAAACTAAGGGAACCTACGTATGAAATTGGAGAAAAATACTCTAAGTACTTCCTTTGAAATAGCGACAAATAACAAACAATTCTCTGTCAAAATCCAAGATGGCCACCTATCGGCCATTTTGTTTATCCGATCAGTCTCAAAATTAAATTGCACAGCTACAGACCAAGGTAAATTTGCATATCCAATTTGAGGAGGATTCCTCCATCACTTCCTGAGAAATAGCGCTACCAAACATTCACTGTCAAAATCCAAGATGGTCACCTATCAGCCATTTTGTTTATCCAAGTCCTCTCTAAAAATCAAACTGACACAACTACAGACCAAGGGGAACCTACATATCTAATTTGAGAAAGATTCCTCCAGTACTTCCTGAAAAATGGTGATAACAAACATTCACGGCCCAAATCCAAAATGGCCTCCTGGTGTTTTTTTACGAGCCTTCTTGAAATGAAACATGCACAACTATAGACCAAGGGAACCTACAAGGGGACGCATGTTGGCCATTTTGTTCATCCGATCAGTCTCAAAAGTTATTATGCACAACAACAGACCGAGGGAAACCTACATATCAAATTTGAGAAAGATCCTTCAAGGACTTTCTGGATAATAGCGATAACAAACCATCACTGTCAAAATTCAAGATGTCAATAAATAAAGAAATTTAACAAAGGTAGTCAACCAATCATGTTACACAAAGGAAGCTATGAAGAAAAAATGTCAATTTAAAAACAAAAAGTTATATATGTACTGTGTACAGTGACGTCACCCTTGCCACCTCAATTCACATAAGTGTTAGATAGGGAGTCTCATGCTGACTTTATGGTAGCTAAACTGAATTCTTACAGACATGAATAAATACCAACACCAGATATTCAAATGGCCATTGAAATACACACTCAACATAAACATGAAAAGTAATTGAGGATTATAGGGCTAACAGAAATACACCTTTCATAAGCTATCACAGTGTGATATTGCCTAGGAATCAGCTTTAAATTCCTTTTTATCCAATTTTATAATTAAAAGAAAACTGATACACTTCTGATTCAGAACTTCTGACTATATATACCAGTTTTATCTGCTGAAATCAATACCTCACCACAACATTTTTCCACAACAAAGAATATATTGGAATCATTGCCAATTTTGGAATTGAATATCCATTCAAATAATACCTTGGCCTCTATACATCACAATTCATCAGTTCAACGTGAGAAAATCACCAGTATTATAGACATGTTCACAAACTGTATTGAATTCCTTCTGCACACTTTGAAAATGAAAGTACATACCAGTACTTCAGAATTACAATGTGACACACATGAGAGTTACTGCTGTTCATACAATATATGTACTTCAGAATTACAATGTGACACACATCAGAGTTACTGCTGTTCCTACAATATATGTACTTCAGAATTACAATGTAACACAGATGAGAGTTACTGCTGTTCCTACAATATATGTACTTCGGAATTACAATGTAACACACATGAGAGTTACTGCTGTTCCTACAATATATATGTGGGGTTGTGTTTTTATTTCAGATACCAAGTGGCGAGAAGACTGTATATTTCCAGGATTTCTCCTTAAATCACACTAGCTGGGACAACTGTTTCACCTTGCCCGGTGTCTATTGTCACACTCTAGTTACTGCTGTTCCTACAATATATGTACTTCAGAATTACAATGTAACACACATGAGAGTTACTGCTGTTCCTACAATATATGGACTTCAGAATTACAATGTAACACACATGAGAGTTACTGCTGTTCCTACAATGTATGTACTTCAGAATTACAATGTGACGCACATGAGAGTTACTGCTGTTCCTACAATGTATGTACTTGAGAATTACAATGTAACACACATGAGAGTTACTGCTGGTCCTACAATATATGTACTTCAGAATTACAATGTAACACAGATGAGAGTTACTGCTGTTCCTACAATATATGTACTTAAGAATTACAATGTAACACACATGAGAGTTACTGCTGTTCCTGCAATATATGTACTTCAGAATTACAATGTGACACACATCAGAGTTACTGCTGTTCCTACAATATATGTACTTCAGAATTACAATGTAACACAGATGAGAGTTACTGCTGTTCCTACAATATATGTACTTCGGAATTACAATGTAACACACATGAGAGTTACTGCTGGTCCTACAATATATGTACTTCAGAATTACAATGTAACACAGATGAGAGTTACTGCTGTTCCTACAATATATGTACTTAAGAATTACAATGTGACACACATGAGAGTTACTGCTGTTCGTACAATGTATGTACTTCAGAATTACAATGTGACACACATGAGAGTTCCTGCTGTTCCTACAATGTATGTACTTCAGAATTACAATGTAACACACATGAGAGTTACTGCTGTTCCTGCAATATATGTACTTCAGAATTACAATGTGACACACATCAGAGTTACTGCTGTTCCTACAATATATGTACTTCGGAATTACAATGTAACACACATGAGAGTTACTGCTGTTCCTACAATGTATGTACTTCAGAATTACAATGTGACACACATGAGAGTTACTGATGTTCCTACAATATATGTACTTCAGAATTACAATGTAACACTCATGAGAGTTACTGCTGTTCCTACAATATATATGTGTGTTTGTGTTTTTATTTCAGATACCAAGTGGCGAGAAGACTGTATATTTCCAGGATTTCTCCTTAAATCACACTAGCTGGGACAACTGTTTCACCTTGCCCGGTGTCTATTGTCACACTCTAGTTACTGCTGTTCCTACAATATATGTACTTCAGAATTACAATGTGACACATATGAGAGTTACTGCTGTTCCTACAATGTATGTACTTCAGAATTACAATGTAACACACATGAGAGTTACTGCTGGTCCTACAATATATGTACTTCAGAATTACAATGTAACACACATGAGACTTACTGCTGTTCCTACAATATATATGTGTGTTTGTGTTTTTATTTCAGATACCAAGTGACACACATGAGAGTTACTGCTGTTCCTACAATGTATGTACTTCAGAATTACAATGTGACGCACATGAGAGTTACTGCTGTTCCTACAATGTATGTACTTCAGAATTACAATGTGACGCACATGAGAGTTACTGCTGTTCCTACAATGTATGTACTTGAGAATTACAATGTAACACACATGAGAGTTACTGCTGGTCCTACAATATATGTACTTCAGAATTACAATGTGACACATATGAGAGTTACTGCTGTTCCTACAATGTATGTACTTCAGAATTACAATGTGACACACATGTGAGTTACTGCTGTTCCTACAATATATGGACTTCAGAATTACAATGTAACACACATGAGAGTTACTGCTGTTCCTGCAATATATGTACTTCAGAATTACAATGTGACACATATGAGAGTTACTGCTGTTCCTACAATATATGTACTTAAGAATTACAATGTGACACACATGAGAGTTACTGATGTTCCTACAATATATGTACTTCAGAATTACAATGTAACACACATGAGAGTTACTGCTGTTCCTACAATATATATGTGTGTTTGTGTTTTTATTTCAGATACCAAGTGGCGAGAAGACTGTATATTTCCAGGATTTCTCCTTAAATCACACTAGCTGGGACAACTGTTTCACCTTGCCCGGTGTCTATTGTCACACTCTGGCTACATAAACTTTAAACACAAACTCGATCAGCTACTTAAACTTTAAACACAAACTCCGCTACTTAAATAGACTTCAGAACCATGCTGTACACTCTCTGTATCAATCTTAAACTGTTTTTCAGTGCAGAGATGAAGCCCACTATGGTAAATTTTCAATGTCATTGAGGTTTTCTTAAACATTTTATATTGAAATAACTTTATATTCATTCTTTTTAAATAATTTATGGCGATATATAGTAAATTACAGAAGTAAATGGATTAAGATATGGTGCATGTGAATTTAACAGTTTTTGGAATGTTACCCTGGCATGCAAGCTAGTTACATTGAAAATATTCACATCTTTCTCAACCAATCTGATTACAAGAAATTATAACAAAACACATTTACCATTTCTTCCTTTGCTGTATAAGTAGGGAAATGACCTCTTAGAACTACAACTGTTTTAGTTGAAGATCTTGTAATTTACACAAGATATCTTTTGAAATGATTCCCAAGATAAGACTGTTACGTACACTGTGTGAATGAATGCCCAAAAACATCAGCTTTACTTGGAGTAAATCAATAGTTTGGAATTGTGCATATTTGGGTGTTTTTCTCAGTCACAAGGCACTTGAAAAATAGGGCGAAGAGCAGGGGTGCTAAATATATATCCAATACATTTTCTTGTGTGCTAAACACACAAAAATCAATTCAATTTGTTATAATGATTTCAATCTGATTCTCAGAAATGATTAACAAGAATTTTTATATAAAATGTTCTATTGTTGCCTTTTTGTTAGACATGAGCATACAGGATT